CCATGCAGCTGCTTGGTGCCCAGGTAGGCTAGGTTTTATGAATTGAGTAGTTTAAATTTGTGCTTACTGCGTAATATATGTGAATCAATGGTAGGATTTATGCGTAGGCCTTTGTGCACCGAATGATTATTGATTTAAACCCTAGAAAGAAGCCTTAGACGATGAATTAGGGCTGAGTGTGGTCGAATTAGGGTTGCATGAGGTGTGTTGAAGAATAATCCGTTGTGAGGGTGGTGATTCCATGATTTAGTGATGTATGTTATTCTTGCTTCATTGTGAAACATGTAGGTATACGAATGTTGCATTGTTGATCACACTTGTTGTAAATGAGGATATGTGAATGACGAACACCATGAGTCATGAATTGTTTATATGATTATGAGGATATACTTGTGATTGTGATTGTGATATGTTGAATGGATCGGTTGCTACATTCCGGCATAACTAACTGAGATCGGTTGCCACATTTAGGCATAACTAATTGGGATCAGTTGCCATGTTCTGACATAACTAATTGGGATCGGTTGCAACGTTCCGGCATAATTATAGGATCGGTTGTCACGTTCCGGCATAATTATAGGATCGGTTGTCACGTTCCGGCATAATTATGGGATCGGGTACCACATTCTGGTATGCTAACTGTTTGGGTTTGGGTTCCATGAGAGGACCAATGATGTGGCAAAATTATATATCTTGAGAAATGTGGAGTTGTTCGTAAGTGTCGTTGATATTGCATATATTTGATATGCGCAAGTGAGTATGTTGTTGTATTGACTTATATATGTTGCGACGACTTAGATTTGATTGTTCTTGTGTTGAGCGAGTTGTTTGGGTATAGTGGAGGGGCAAGGTGTCCAAGGGGGAAGTAATGGATAGCAAGGGTTGTTCGTGTGTTGTAATGGCGAGAAGTAGAGGCAGAGTATGTGATGAAATATGCTTAGGTGGATTTCACCTTGGGGAAATAGATTGGGGTTAGTGGTAAGAAAGCTTGATATAATGTACTATGTGACCATGTTGGAAAATATTTTTGCTCTCTTCTTCTTCCTCACTCTTCTCTTCCTGTAACTTCTCTACCTTCCATCACCCAACATCACCACACAACTTTTCGAAAAAATTCTGCAAAACTTTGTTGGGTTATATTAGAATCCAATTTCTTCAACAAAAGAGTCAATTTCTTTAGTAACCTCACCAGAAAAAATGAAGATCATCATCATTCTCTAAGAATTTGTGACTCTTTTTTCTTTTTAAAATCAAATCATATAAAGTTTAAGCTCTTCTACATTAATGTTGTCTGCTACTACAACTAAAAAACTCCCACCCCCAATAATAATGAGAAGTTCTCTTGATTTTCAGTTTTCTTACAGAAAATTAGAAGTGTCTGTAACAACGAAAATTGGAGGAACAAGTTATTACACTGTCTACATCTTCACCATTTAAATAACTAAATCCCCAATATTTTGCCATAGCATTCATAACTAAATCCTCAATTTTTTGCTCCGTCTGCATCTTTACCATTTATATAATATTGTTATTTTTGTTTCAAGATGCAATTTTGATTATTTAAAAAAAAAAAAAAAAAAAAAAAAAAAGAGGAATCAAGGAATGTAACACAAGAAATCACAATTTTGTATAGCACAAGAAAAACACATGAATTTTAATGGATTTGAAGAAGAACAAAGAGAAAGAACAAAAACACATAGAAGAAGCCGAAGATGTGGGGGGTGAGGACTAGCTAGGGTTAGATATTTTGAAGAAGAAAAAAGAAAGTAAGAGTGAGGTTTTTTTAAAACAAAAATAAAATTCAACATGTCACATGTTCATTCATTTATTTATCCACGTAGGAGGCATTTGGATACACACACTTAAGCTAGTTCTAAGAATATAAAAAAAGTGTCAAAATGACACATCAAAACCCTACATGAGGTGTCTAAAATGAACATCGTCTAGTTAAAGTATCTAAGTGAAAATTGTTGCCAACTTTAAGGGGTCACCGATGGATTTGACCTATTTTTTATATAAAAATTGAATATATATGGAGAGATATAAGAAATTAGAAGGCAAAAAAGTAGAAAGACATTATTTGTGACTCATAATAGTATCATCTAGATCACAATATAGTACATAAGAATTAATAATAACCTAAAATTAGATCTCATGTATTATATTTTATAATTTAGAATACATAATCAAATCATGTTTGTATATTATTATATCATCTTATAACCTAACATATATATATTTCTGTTTGTTTCTGAGATTTATCTATATATTGATAAATTAGTTGGCCATAATATTATTTTATGATTTTCAACATAAATATTATGTACCAAACTTATATCATATCATTTATATTCTATTATTAAAATAAAAATAAAAATGATACAATAGACAGAGGAGGACCATGCCGTACTTTTATTAATTTATTTATACTCTAAAAATATACATCCTACGTACATCATATGGATAATTAATAATTCATATGTCTATTTTTATTTGTCATGTTGCGTTTTTCGAAAGTCAATTTGACTAATTTTCAAAGTTAAATTAGATTGCATTAATTTAATATTTTAAACGAAAAAAATTAGATATTCAAAAACTATGCAAAAGTACTATAAATTCCGATTTTTTGCATATCAATAAAATGAAAAAAATACATCGTAAAATGTTATCGTTTGACTTTAAAAAAGAAAACTATGACAATTAAAAGTGGACAGAGGTAGGACAAAATTGATTCAATAATCTCATTCCCTTGTTTCCTCGATTCAACTCAGTATTTAATTAAGTGCATTATTTAAATTTTTTTAAAGAAGTATGAGTATCGACAGATAAAATTATTAAAATATATATACATAAAATATTAAACAAAAAAAAAATCGTAAATTTGTGTGCCCCATAAATTAAGCTATAAATCCACCCCAAGTAGGTCTAGTTAATTAGTCAAATATCAAAATCATACTAGTAGGTATAATTGGCTTAATATAATGAGTCCATGACATAAATTATGTGTTTGTTAATACCACAACTTGGACATGAAATAATTAAAGAATCTTCTCAATGCTTAATTTGGACCATGGTCCCATTAAATTGAACCACAATTGTTAGATATATAATTACGCAATCTTTTGGGACTTTAATTTAATTTGCATTATTTAACAAAGATTTGAATCAAAATTATTCGTATTTTGGTTTTATTGAACTTAATTTTTTTCTTTTTTAACCACTTAATTATGTTTTTAATAAATTTAAATAAATGAAATCGTATATAAAATCTCAAAATAATTTTATCTAAATTTGATTAAATTTCTTTTACTAATACTATATATTCATTGCAACATTCAACCATCACTATCAATAGTCTTCAATGGAAAATTACCACTATCGATCACTACCACCAACCGCCTTCATTACCAACCAATAAGAAAAAACACTACCAACCCATGACCACTACCAATTAGTACCAATCATCTCTCTTGCCACCTATTCGATCATTCCACAATCATCATTATTGTCAATTGCCATCAGTTCAGGGGTAGAGTTAGAAGTTTGCATGTTGATTCGGTTAAACCTAGCAGATTTTGTTTAAATAATGTATTGGTATTACCAAAATTTGTGGACTATAATCTTTATTGAACCATTCAGAATTTTAAGTTTCAAACTTGAAATAATATATTAAAAGATAAAAACTATGAAAAAGTATAAGAAATATTTAAAAATTATATCAAAGTAAATATTTTTCTGTATAAAATAAAATTTTAAAATTATATATATAATGTCGGATTGGTTTGATCTCAGGTTGGTTTTTTTTAGTTAAAACCAAATCAACCCAAATATAGTCGGATTTTTTTTTTCAATACCAAACCAAGTCAAACCAATCACTAGTCGGGTTTTTTTTTCGGTTTGACTTGATTTGCGATTTGATTCGATTTTTGGTTCGATTTTATATACCCCTATTTGCACCTATAACTTAAATAATATAAAATTAAATTCACTAAATTTAAATTCTAAATCTGCTTCGATACCTAGAAGGCTAGCTTGCCGACATGTAGAGGGAACAATGGAGGATGCAAATCTGTTTTGCCTAGTTTACGTTGGTCTTTTCGATCTGTTTTATTTATTTCTTTATTAAATAAAAATAATTACTGTACTATATGGTCTTGGATCAATCATGAGTTCGGATTTGTACTACGTTCACTGTACTTCACAGTTCACACAAATTTATTTTTTTATGTATAATCATGCATTAATTATTATTATTAAGACATGTTGCTAATTTAATTAAGAGAGAGAATGTGTCTAATCTTTTTATTTTGGTCAACAACTTCATTTAATCTTCTTTAAGCTAAGATTCAACTCAGTTAATTTTGATATTATAATTATTTTCAAGGCTCAAGAGTCCGTTTGATTTAGCTGATCATATACTCCCTCTGTCCCTAATTACTTGTTCATATTTCCTTTTATAGTTATCCCTAATTACTTGTCTATTTTGACAAATCAAGAAAAAATATTTTTTTTACCTATTAAGTGTAGAAGAATTGAAGATTCAACATTATAATTTTGAGAACAAACATCAATAAGCTTAAGGTCAGTGTCAGTCAAACTTATGACTATTTATACTCTTATCTATTACTCCATGTCGCGTGGTATTTTTCGTTTTTCGAGAATCTAACAGTTTAAGTTTTATCAGTAATTTGCAGATGGAATCTTCAAATTTTTTGAAATGAAATTTATATATTTGTAAACTACGTAAAAAGTATTATAAGTCACAATAATTGATAATTCAAAATTTTTAAAAGATATATGAAAAACTTATGGTCAAAAATAGATTTATTTTAATCTCGAAATTTAAAAAATGACACATAAAATGAGACAGAGGAAGTACTCACAATTAGATGGAAAAAAAAACTTGACAAACAATTACAAAAAAATTGAAAAAACAGATGGCTAACGATAATTTATATACTATAAAAACACACATGCATGTTTATAATGATACATATTTGTAATTTACAAAGATAGAAATAATATCTAGATAGATATCGCGAAAGCGAAAATACAAAATATTACAAGAAAGCAGGCATAATTTTGTGCACTGCCATATTGAAGATTGACAATCCAAATAATACAAAATAATTCCCCACAAACCAAACAAAGAAGAAAAAAAACTAGACTTAATTCACACATTACCAAAAATATATTTTAAAAAAAGTACAAATTAAGCTTATGATAAAATGGAATAATAAAATGTCTCCTTCTTGACCATCATCACATGGCTCTAACAGCTTGGAATCTTGGCTCTTTAGGTGAAAATTTTTGTTCACTATAAACATTCATATAATCACCAAACTTAAAAGCTGGATAATTACTAATTAATTCCACCTTATTATTATTGTTATTATTATCATTATCAATATGAATTAGTTGAGGTGCAGGAGCGATCGTAGCTTTTAAAGACGGATTATAAAAAGACGCAATTGACCTTCTATTTCCATTTTCCTTAGCCAAAACGCGATGCCAAACGCTCTTGTATTTTCCGTTACTAAGGACCTCAATTTGGTCACCCGTGTTGATAACGATGGCATTTTGGATCGGTTGAACATCGATCCATTTGCCATCCTTGAGAATTTGAAGACCGTCCACCTGATCATCCTGAAAAAGCAAAATTACACCACCAGCATCGGTGTGTGCCCGTAGACCATTCACCATTTCGGGATTTGGGCACGGTGGATAATGACTTACTTTAGTCCCGAAAAATGCATTTTCGGAACCTTCTTCGCCGTTATTAAACGATTTATTGATGTAACCTTTTGGTAGACCTAAGTTTTCGTCCATTATTTCCATCAATTGTTTTGCTAGATTCTTCAATTCTGATCGATACTCTTTCATTATTTCCCTGTTTAAATGTATAATAATATATCAGCTTGTTAGTGTAAATTAAATGATATATAAAAGCATATTGTACAATTTATTTGATTTTTGTTTTTGTTTTTGTCTTGCTTAGTTACTAGAAAATGCATTGTCTTATGTAAGTTGATGGTTAATATTGCTAATGTGAATTAACTTTTGGCAAATCCTAACAACATAATATTAATTGAATGTCCTTTATTTTAATATGTTATAGTAGATAATATGCTTGTTTTTAGTTATATAATAATCTTTTAAGCGATCTGATTGTATAAAAGAATTAATACCGTAAATTCTACTCTTTTCTCCACCTAAATGATGCAATGTTTACAAGTTGCAACAACTTCTTGGATGCAAGATTTTAATCTAATTATTATTTCCATGTTTATTTAGAATTTAGAAATTAAGAGAAAAGGTTAATTAAAATATATCAAAACAAGAAAAAAAGTTGTTGTATACTTCCTTTGTTTTTTTTACTTGTTATAGTTACCTTTTCTAATTAACTTTTGAAAAACATTGTTACAGTTATCTTTATTGAAAAACACAACATGACAATTGAAAAGAAATAATACCTGAATTGAGGAATATTGGAGGGCCATTCATTATCATCAGTAAGAAGGAATACATCTTCCCAATCTACATTTTCAACTTTGTTATTATTGCTCTTATTTTTCTCCACTTCATTCAACAAGTTTATTGCTGTTGATTTGTTGAAATTATCTTCTCTTTCCTTCTTAAAACTTTCTGAAGAAACTCTCTTCACCTTCTCAAGAAGTTCCATAGGAATCCCATGATTCACCAACTACACAAATTCAATTTGGCACGAAATTAATAAACGTACAACAGAAGACTAGATATCATTTTAAATATGTCATAACGTAATAATATTTGTGTGACTATTGTAAAAAACTTGTGTCAATACGTATGCACTAAAGCTTGTAATATTCTTTTCAGGACATACAGACTAATAAGAAAATACGGTTAGTTTTCAGTACTGTAAAATTACCTGAAAAAATCCCCATTCTTCACAACAAGTGGCAATTTGAGCCAAAGTGTTGGCTCTTTCCTCTCCATTAAGCTTTGAAAAATCAATTACTGGAATAGCCATTGATGAAATTATATAACAATAAGTATTCAAAAAGAGAGTAAATTAAATATAAGTTATAGAGAAAATAATATATGAATTTTTTTCTTTTTTTTAGGGTGGTACTATTGTGTTGTGGTATAGGAAAAGATTAGCATAGTCCTATTTATAGCCAAAATAATTTCATGATGTCAACTCTCTAAATAATTTATTAATTTATTTTTTCTTATTTAATCAATAAATTTAAAGAAATTAACAAATTAAGAAAGTGTAGCCGTTGGAGTAGGGTAATTTGGACGGTGATATAATGTTATTAATTAAATTAATAAATAAGGTCAATGTCTTTTTGAGTCATTGCCTACCCCAAACAGAAATATTTTCGTCATCACATAATAATTAGATTAATGGTGTATTTCCATCTCATAATAATAATTAATATTAATCAAATAAGTTGTTAAGGACATAATTAATAGTAGTATTAGTAATGGTCCCTTTAAATATTATATGAGCCATCATTTTGACCAATTTCTTCAAAACAGAAGTTTTTATTCCTTTTAAAAAAAAAAAAAAACTTATTTTGGAAAGTTAACTGGATTTTATAGTAAAATTTGAGCATTTTTTGAATAAATATGGTGGAAATAGCTTTTGTTGCAGGGAGCATCAAATCGAAGGTATTCAGAAATGGTTATATTTATGCTTAAACAAAGAGGACTTTAAGACAGTTTCATACGAGATATTGAATGTGACCAGCCTTCAATGGCGGATCAAAAGAGTACAAGCTACTATCGATTCAAATTAGAGAAATACTAAGTTTTATCCACTACAATTGGCATCTAGTAAACTCTTTGCCAAATTATCCTACTAATAAATACAAATAAGAACTAACTTTATGCATTGCCAACAATAAATTTATGACCAAAGTCTCATAAGCAATAAAAAAAACCTTAATTAAAGTCTCCCAAAATAAATATTTTATACATTTAAATGATCCTAGTTGTAAACTGAATCCTAATTATACAATTTCTATTTTTTGGTAATTTGATGTTTAAAATTGCTGGTCAAATATAAATTGCTTCTGAAATACTAATAAATGTATTTATTTTTATTTAGCCAAACACAAACCACTATTATTGAAATGTACTCCCTCTATTTTAAATTAATTGAATTGTTGAGGTATTTCATACTATTTTTAAGAAAAGAAGATTAAGACATAAATTAGGTATAACTTTTCATTTTTACCCTTATTAATTATTATCAAATTTATGATTAAAACAACCAAACATTAATTAATAAATAATTCTAATACTAACTAATGAAGGGTAAAATTGGAAGAACATTTTAAAAGTAGTCTTGGTAATTGAACAATTAAGTTAATTTGAAAAATGAAAAATGTCTCAACAATTCAATTAATTTGAAATGGAGGGAGTATTTTTTTAGAATAACAGATTTTGAACGCTTCAACAAATAGTCTGTAACTCAAAATTATTACTCCCTCTATTTTAATTTATATGACACTTTTCGTTTTTCGAGAGTCAAACAATTTAAGTTTGACCGGGAATTTGCGCACGAAATCTTCGAAATGAAATTTATATATTTGTAAACTACATAAAAAGTATTATATGTCACAATAATTGATAATTCAAAATGTTTAAAAGATTTATGAAAAACTTACGGTCAAAAATATACTTATTTGAATCTTAAAATACGAAAAATACCACATAAAATGAGACAGAGAGAATATTAGTATTTTAGTCACCCAAAAAAAGAATTTCACTTAACTTTTTTTTTTTTAAGTGTTTCAATTTGAATAATTATAACAAAAAGATGTAATTAATTGCTTCATAAATTGTTAATTACTTGAATATGGCTGCCGACTAGCACCGTTGAGGCGTTGACCATACACGTATTTTGCCTTTGACTTCCATAAAATTATTTTTAATGTAAAAGGGATCAGTTAATTTAATTTAATTTAATTTAATCTGCACTATTTTTTAGGCATAGTTTAAGGTCTAAGAAAGATGGTAACTTTAATTTAAAATTCTTTAAATCTAATAATGAAATTTGTCAACGCCTTATAAATTAATTAATTTAAGTAATGAATGGGGTCTGAACTCTGAACTGAAATAATTAATTAATTTAAAATTGAAATTAACTTTCTGTAACATGTTATAGGTTTTGAAGATAATATAATTTTGTACCTTTGAGCCAGCTTCGTTTAATACTTGGTTAATTGTAGACCATTGGTTTTATTCTGAATGTTCGAATATTAGGGTTCATCATTAATGGATACAGCTAATATTGACCGTCTGATCAACAACATATGTTTTGGTTATTGAAGAATACGGTGCAGTAGATGGATTGATCCTCTCTTAATCAAATGTCTCGAGTTTAAGTTACAAGTATGAAAAAATCTTTGGTAGAAAGCGTTTCCTTACGAATGGGACCTACGCGGTGCGAATCGAAATTAGTCAGATTTCAACGCGGATACTAAACACTGGAAGAAAAAATAAAACATAAAACATATGTTTTGGATTATTTGTTTTATTAATCATTGATGGTACGTACTTTTATTAGTACCTCTCACCATCTGTCTTTTTATTTAATACTATTAACTATTAATTCGGATCGAGAGAAGATGAAATGAGAAAGAATTACAAGATGGGGAATAAAATATTATGAATAGAAGATGAAAATTCAGATAATCAATCAATTAGTACCAACTCATGAACTATTAGAATCCCCCCCCCCCCCCCCGGTTCTTTAGGTTATATGCAGAGGCGGAGCTAGGTGAGGATTTGGGGGTTCGGAAGAATCCAATAGCTTTTCCGTAGAATCTGTATTTGTACTAGAAAATTTATTAATATATATGTATATTAATTTGTGAACACCTAAGAAAATTGGTTGACGGTTCTAAAGGAAATTTAGAACCCCCAAAGACCAAAATCTTAATCCTAGCTCCGCCTCTTGTTACATGATATTTCCTTCGTCCATATTTACTTGTCTATTATAATAAAAATAGATATTTATTTTACTTGTTTTATTTATTATTAATTATAGTCATTTCTCTAATAATGCGTTTAAATTTCAAAATACTGAATTTAATATATTCAAATGATATTATGATAAAATTAACCTTCGATTTGTTACTCTTTTAAGAGATTTGCTAAATTAATACTGAAAAATCAAGATGGACAAAGAGAATATCAAATAATTGTAGATTTGTTTATTCACTATTTTGTTTGTTTATATTGATAGATGTTGTTGAATCAAATAATTATTGATTTGTTTATTCACTATATTTTGTTTACATTATTGATAGAATAGATGTTGTTGAAGATGTGGCTTGACCCATGATATCGTGATAAAATTCCAGGCATATAATTATGTCTAATTAATGAGAAGATCATATTTGATTATTTTATTATTTATTTATGCAGGAAATTTATATGGGAGAGATAATTAATCAAGAAATCAATAATTTGAGAAGAATTGCTATAGGAAACAAAAAAAGTTACATGCTATCGCGAAATTACATTCGCATAATTGTTTCAGGTTTTTCTTATCCATCACATCAGACGATCCCTAATTGTTGTCCCATAAATTGTTACTAGCATTATGACGATGCGTTTCAATTTGTTGTCGTATTTTTTTTAGTTAGACAATTGTTTTAGTAACTCTTTAGTTCCAATTTTTTTATTTGGCCTAACATCTTGTCAAGTTTAAGACTATAAGATTAAAAGTCATTATGATACATGATCAGAGTAGGATTTAGAGGATAGCGAGGAATTCACCCGAACCTTCTTGGTAAAAAATTATACAATATATATAAGTTATTTTATGTATTTATATAGATTTTAAAACTCTTTTAAACATAAGATTAGAAGTTAACTTAGAGGGAGTTGCTCAGATGATAAGCACCCCTCACTTTCAATCCGAAGGTTACGAGTTCGAGTCACCAAGGGAGCAAAAAGGGGTGGGAGCTCCTAGGGAGGGTAAAAAAAAAAGTAGTTAACTTAGAGGCAGAGAAGTTTAAATTTTACCTTTTTATTTTTCAAAACGTTCTTAGCGAAAATCATGGATAATTAAACAATGAAGATGACATTATAAATGGAAAAACCCAAAATCATTCCAACAGAAATTTTCGATTTTTCAATTTATTAAGTTGATTCATATGGTTAAATTTTGGGATAATATATGGGAGATCTGAGACCGGTTCATTCACCAACAACCTTTTAGCTTCTCACATCAAGGTAGCTTAATCTGACTTACATCTCCTATATAATTTATAAACTATTGCATAAAAATTGATTTATCCACGCACATCCTAAGAATCGCAATTATGAATTTTCAAAAGATTTTTAAAAAATAAAGTTTAATTTTTGAGTAACTTTCACATAAAGCAAACATAAAAATTATATTTGTATGTTATAGTTATAGTTTGCATAATTACGTTCCATAACAAATTTTATGTTTGTTATGGAGCTTTTGATTTGTATAATTCGCTAACAAACATCCAATTTCATACAAATTGTTCAGTTTTGTATAAATTCATTTATACATTGTAATTTGTATAAAAAGATCTGTATTTGTATAATTATAAGTGTATAGGACGAAAATATATGTATTTGTATTTGTATATACATTTTTCTCTGGCTTTATACAAACACAAACACATTTTCTACCAAAATGTATAAAATGACTAATTGTATACCGAAAATGGATAATTGTATACCGAATCAGATGGAAAAAAGGGGATGTTTGTTGCGAATTACAATTAAAATAAACTATGACTATAACATTTTATTTGAATTAATAGTTTGCTATTTCAGTACAATTTTCCCTTGATTTTTTTAATGTAAAAATTATGCAAACCACATAGTATAACATACAAATTACATTTTATCCCTACTCTTTCATAAATTACAGAAATTCCTTTATTTTAATACCTTTCAGATACATAATTGGGAAGCGTGGATACTTTAATTTAGAGATTTCTGTTATCAATTTACTGCACTAAATTAGGG